GTGCCGCAGCGCCGCGAGCGCCCCGGCTCGGATCCGTCGCCGCGATGAGCGCAGGTGAGAGCTGGGGACTGGAGGCCGGCGCGTCCCCGCCGCGTGCCTGCGCCGCCAGGGCTGGGTGGCATTCGGAGGCTGCACCTGCTGCAAGAGCAAAATCGCCCGGAGGCGCCACCAACTTTTGCACCTGGGGTTTGTAGCCCGTGGGGGTCGGCGCGTAGGCCGGGTCCCTGTGCCCGGGGCACATCGCTGGGAGGCACGCGCAGGGGTCGTTGGCCACAGCGCCGGCCAGGTGGCTGCGCGGGGCTGGCGTGCAGGCGCCCCTCCTTTGCATTTCAGGGGAGCCCGAGGTTGCTCCAGGTTCCACAAGGCCAGAGGGCCCTGGGGAGGGGCCCTGGGGCCCCCGCAGTCCTGGCCAGGAGAGAGATGCGATGGCCGGTCTGGCTCTGCAGCAGGGGCGCCGCCCTGGCGCGGTTCCTCCGGTGCCCGGGTGTGGGGGCGTCAGGCCACTGGCAGTGTTTGGGTCGCCGCCGCAGATCTGAGGCCCGGGAGCCCGTGTGCGTATGGGACCTAGCTCAATCTGCCTGCGCGCGTCCCTCTCAGCCCTGGCCCTTGAGAGTCCCGCCCGGCCTCTCCCGCCGCACCCACCCAACGGGATCTGACAGCCTCTGCGGAGCCGGAAAATCCAGCCGCGAACCAGCCGCCCCTTGTGCAGTTGGGGAAACTGGGAGCTAGAGGTCTTGGCATAGGGTGGGCATCTAGACCCCTGCCGGAGATGCACCCTTCCCAGAGCCTTCTGGGGCCTGCATCGGCCAGGGCTGGTCCCCGCATTCCCCAGCGGGGAGGAGCCTCACTGTTTTTCAGGGTGCGACTAGAGACTAGAAGCTCACGCAGCTGGAGTCCCTGGGGCTCACGTGGCAGGGTGGGGATTTGACCCCCGGGTGCCCCTGTGTGCTTCCCTCCAAACCTGCCTCTCTGCTGACTGCAATATGGCCCTTGGCCATGGCCTAGGGCCCAGCAGGGACAGTGCTTCCCCAAGGGAAAGGGTCAGACAGGGGGAACGGGTGGAGGTAACAGCTCACTGTGGGCTCCCGGCCTGGAGGAAGCAGTGAGGGGCGTGTTCCCAGGGGCCCCCTCCCAGGGGAGCATGTCCCCTCCCCCACTGCCCAGGAAGGAGCAACTGCTGCAGTGGGCGTCTGGGGAGAGTGGCTGAGAGCAAGTGGAAGGTGCTTGGAGGCGGGATCCTTTGGAAGACGATTTCTGAGACGGCGGGCCTCTTGTCTAGGGGGGTAAGGGAGGAGAGCACCCCGAGACTTGGCAGGACCTCCAGGTGTTTACCTAGTGGCAGGTAGGGATAATGGCTGGGTGCACACCCGTAATTTCATGCTCTCTGTGGCTATAATTGGTACCTCTGGTCCCTCCTGTAATCAGGAGCCGAAGCAGGAGCATGGCTCCCCCTTCCCCATGCATTTGTGGTTGTTGTCCTGGGGCAGGGCAGCCGGGAATGTGGGGGGCACGGGGCTGGGGTCTGAGCCATGGCGTGCATCTAGTGGTCTTGGCACGGGGGCACCTTCCTGAGCTTGGCTTCCTGACCTGGAAATGCGGTAGCACTGGCGGCCTGGAGGGGACAAGGTACAAGGTGAGAACGTTGCAGGTAGCAGGCCCTCAGGGGTCAGGGTGGTCCTCACTGGGAAGCCAAGCCCCCCGGCCCTCCTGGGCTGCCTGTGTTCCCTGTGTACCTGTTGCTCATCCGGCCCGCAGCGTGGTTTTCATCGAAGTGGGGTGAGCAGAACCAGTGGTCCCTGTACCTGGCAGAGGTGCGTGAGTGTCTAGCAGGTAAGGAGCTCCCAGCATCCGCAAGGGGAAGGAGGGCAGGTGTCCCTGAGGCCCTCCCTGTGGCAGTGTGGCATCATTCCAGAGCTTGGCGCCAGGTGGCATGGCTGGGCATCAGCTGGTCCAGTATCCAGCTGCCCAGATGCACAGGATGATTAGAGCACAGCCCTCCTACCCCTCTGTGCCACAGAGCCGTGGCTTCATCTTGGGGTTGGCACAAGTGTGACGCTGAGGCCCTGCAGTGGCCTCGCCCCCTCTGGCTGCCTGTTGATTCCGGGTGGTCAGGGGAATTGTTTCCCTAGTACTATGACAGCTAGGAGGAGACGGTGCTCTTAGTTAGCAAGCGTGGATCCAAATCCAGCACACTAGCTGTGGGGCTCCCTGTGCCTCAGTTTCCCCAGTGGCATGGAAAACTGCCCTGAGCTCTGTGGGCAGTGCCAGCCCCCACACAGCAAGCCTGGTCTTGATGGTGAGCGTGGTGGCAGCCACAGCCCACGTGGTCACAATGGGCCGGGTGGGGCAGGAAGCAGGTCCCTGCCGGAAGCTGTAGGGGAATGAGGGAGTCAAAGTATCAGCTCTGCCACCCATGGATACTGGATCCCTGAGCGAGGCGCAGGCTTCCCCTGAGCCTGGGTGTCCCCCCCGGGCAGCTGCAGGCTTGGCAGGTAGGAGTCGGCTGGCAAAGGTTCCTGGGGGGTTGTTGATCTGCTCCTGGAGCATAGTGCCACTAACCAGGCAACTTAGACAGGAGAAAGTTATTTTCCAACCATGTTGGAGTTTAGAAGACCCAGCAAGGTATGGGCAGGGTCTACTCCTCCCTGCTAGGCTTTTGGACGGCACTTTCTCCGTGTCCCCCTGCGGCCGTCCCTCTGTGTGGCTATGTCCCTCTTCCTCCAAAGACACCAATGAGACTGATTGGGACCCACCCTGGGGAACTGTATGTCACCTTAGCAGTTTCTGTAAAGGTCCTGTCTCCAAATACAGTGTTGGGGTTAGGACTGCAACTTGTAAAATTTGGGGGTAAACCATTCAGCCCATAGCCAGGGTCCAGGGCTACTGCAAAAGAAGCTGGAGGGGACCTGGAAGCCCAGAGAGGAAACTGAGGCTGCAGAAGGAGAAAGTGTGACCTATCCAGAACTTGAGCCCTGTCCTCTGACCCTGGGTGCTGTGGCCCCCAGTGTTAGGGACAGAGACCCAAGCTTCCCCTGACCCAGGGGTGGCCGGTGGTGTGGCCACGAAGATGTTCCCCTTGGCCTTCCTGGCAAGAGCAGAGTTAAGAGTCCCCTGAGTGTGGAGAGAGTGATGGATGTGAGTGAGTCCTTCATTCATTCATTCTACAAACTTTTAGTATGTGCCTACCGTGTGCCTGCGCTGCTCCAGGCCCTGGGGTTTAGCAACAGACAAGAGCAAACAAAAATCTGTGTTCTCCTGAAACATACATTCAAGCGGGGCTGGGGCAGGAGGCATTTTATAGCGAATGATGTATATGACGAGTGTTGTTAATGTTGGCGGATAATGTCCAAGAAAACCAGATTGATTTAGAGACAGCTGAAGACCAAATAGCTTATCATGTTTGATCTCGACTCTACAAAAACAACCCAGGAGGAAAGGACATGGCGTGTTCCCAGTGGCCGTGGCGGGAGGAAGAGTGAGGCCGTCAGGCCCTGCCCAGGTGTCCCTCCGTGGGTATGGTGGGCTGCGCAAGTAAAGGGAGGAGAAAGTGCTGCTCCCAGCTCCAGGGAGGGCGGCCCTGGGTAGAAGCCCATGGCCCGGCGAGCTCCTATGAGTCCCTCCGGCAGGGGCCCGGTCCTCTGCATGCAGTGGAGGTGGCGTCTCCCCAGCCGCAGCTCGGCAGAGCTAAGCATGTTCCCTGCGTGGCCCTGTTCTTCATGAGGTGCACAGAGACAAATCCCCGTGGTCCTAAAATTCATCAGGAATCACACCTGGACAGGCCCTGGTGGCCCCTGGACTGGCCACCGAGCCCTTGTACCTGTACTCCACAGCATTCAGGGTAACCTCCTAACCGGCCCGAGACCCTCTGACTGAGTCTTTGCAGTTCCGTCCGTGAGGTACCTGGGTGCTTTCTAGAATCAGGTTTCGAGTTTGATGAGCTCTGGGCTCTTGGCGCTGTGATGCAGGAGAGCCCCGGGTAGGGTGGGGAGGGCGCAGCCTACGCAGGGGTCTGTCCTGTCACTGGCCCTTTAAACAGGCCCTGTCCCCAGGGCCTACGTGGGCTGCGGTCGCTGACGCCGACAGCTGCTGGGACTCTGGGCTGCTGGCCTGATGCCCACCCAGGCCTGGCGCCCATGAGCCTGTCCCTGCAGAGTCACCTCAGGGCCCTTTCTTGCTCTCTGTACCTGTGCCTGGCTTCTGGAGGACTTGTGTGCCATTCCTGGAGTTGGGGCCCCGGGCTCTCATCTGACTCTACCATGCAGTCTTATAGGTTGCTCCTTGAGTCCTCCAGCTTCCGCTGCCATCTCCCCAGGCTCTTGGGGGAGCAAGGGTGCCAGGTGCTCAGCACCCGCTGCCCGGCACGTAGCAGAGGCTGGAAATGCAGTTAAAATAGCAGCAGCGGGAAGATGCGGGGATGTTCAGCGGAAGTGGGGGGTGTTTGATGATGGCCCTGTGGGTCCCCAGGGGCTGAGGCCCAGGGTGATGTCGGCCAGGGCCTGGCCCTGCGCTGCCCAGGTCTGGTGCCCGGGCCCAGCAACCTGAGCACGGTATCTTGGTTTACTCAAGGAATTTTTCCACTGCCACACGGCTCAGGCATCTAGGATGTCGGGCCGCACTGGACAGGACGGGCTCACATGTCACAGCGGCCGAGGCCTGCCAGTGCTTCCCTGGCCCCGGGCCTTCCCTCATACCTGTTCTCTCCCAGAATCCGAATGACACCGCTAGGGTGCTGGTGGTGAACCCACTTAAAGATGCCTGACAGGGAGGTCCCATTGGTTGCCTGCTGTCACAAGGCTTGTGGCCGTGGCAGGGCTGGGATTGGAACGCCAGTGGCCTGGCTCAGCCCCAGGCATGTGCCTCCTGCCTGATCAGCCCTGTCCCCTGCACCTGCCCCCGCCTCCTGTGCCCATTAGCCCGCAGGTGGCACGGGGACTTTATCTCCATAGTCTTGGCTTGGTGGGGCATTGCAATGTTGCTTCCTGGTGGGGTTTCATGCTGTCCTCTCCCCCGAACCCCAAAGCATAGTCCTGTTTTCTAGGGGACAGGACTGGTCCCCATCTCCTGCCTTCTATCTCCTCTGCCCTCTTCGGATCCCACCTGGGGTACTGCTGGGCCGCAGCCTCAGTGCAGACAGGAATGATTCTCCCCGGATGGAGCCGATCTGTCCCCCGCAACCTTGACCCTTGGGCCCCTGCTACCCGTGCTCCACCCGAGTCCTAGGCCCTTCTGAAGTCACAGCACCTCTCTTCGGGCGCACACAACCCCCCTGAGATGCACAGCCACCTCCCATGTGTGGAAGATGCCGAAGTCACCAAGTTGTCTCAGTTACCTCCCTGGGAGGGCACAACCCAGGTGGCAGGCAACCAGCGGTACCAGAACCAGGCAGGAGACAGAAAGAGGCCGAGACCAACAAGAGTCCCTTCTGCCTGGGATCAGGGAGGGCTTCCTGGAGGAGGTGGCGGTGGGTTAAGTCCCTCCAGCTCTAACGCCAGCCTGTTTCCAGCTGCGTAGAAGTGGGGAGCCCTGGAGCCTGCTTTGTGGTCAGCCCTCTGCCCCCCTTGGAACCCTGGGCCTGGCTTGACAGAGCCACCCATCCCCCTCTACACCCTCCAGTCCCCCACCTCTGCAGGGCAGCAAGAGGCCGGGTAGAGCAGCCCAAGTAGATAGGAGACCCAGGGAGGGCAGCGTGTGAGGGCAGGGGGACAAGATGGTGGCCTCGGGGCTGCTTGCAAGGGAGGGTGTGTTGAGCAGGCTGGACTTTGGGTGAGGGCCAGGCAGAGGTGGGTGTGCTGGAGAGGTGCTGGGCCCTTCAGCCTGGTGCCAGTCACCTGGGGGCATTACTTGGGCACCTGCACCCTGGGCACAGGGCAGATCCTGTCTCCCTCCCCTCTGGTGGCTGGGGAAGGGTGTGGTGGCTTTTTCTTCTGACGTGCTTTGGCCTCTTCACCGGGACTACCCAGCACCTACAACTAAAGGAGGAGAGGTTGAGCTGGGTGCATGGGTTCGAAGTTTCAGTCCATAGTTGGCGGGATGTGCTCACTTCGGCAGCACATATACATAGTTGGCAGGATGCAGGGCACAGGGGCCTGGCAGAGGAGAGCTGCTCACGGCATGAGTGACAGGAAGCCAAGAGAAGGGAGGAGCCGGGAGGGGGATGAACCCTTCCAGGCCCCGCCCCAGAGCTGCCTGTTCCCACCAGCCACCCCCCACCACCCTGTCTTCCGCGTCCTCCTGGCACATTTAGCTATGAGCTTGTCAGAGGACTAATCCACCAATGTGTGATCCAATCACCTTTCAGAAACTCTGCCTATGATGGTGTGAGGCTTGGGGGGGCACCTAAGTACAAACCATACAGCTGGGCCACCCAACAACCCAGGATGGCCCCATCTCCATGTCCTTACTCCGTCTCCCAGCCAGCACCCTCCCCTTGCTGCTTAAGGTTGGACTCCCAGGTCCCAGGGTCTGCTGAGGGCAGCTGGCACCAACACTTCTGGAGCCTCCTGCGCCCGGGCCAGCCGTTTCCTCCCTGCCTGTGGCTCCTCGGTGCTGGCTGAGGATGACGCGAGGCTTCGCAAAGGACAGAAATTTTACTCTTAACTCGGCTAAATTTAAACACTCCAGATCCCGTGAGCTCCACGCCACCAAGATCTGCTGATAGGAGCCTTGGTTTGTGCGCTCTTTCGGGGAGCGGGGGTGGGGCGCGCACAGCCTTGCACACTGCCCGCCTGCAGGTGGGGTGCTGCTGCTGCTGCTGCTTCTGGGGATCTCTTCTGCCGAAAGGCCCGGGACACGGCTACTGACTTGTACTCAAAGGCTTTGGTGGCTGGAGTCTCAGAAATGGTCGGCCAGAGGACGCTGGCTGACCCAGTCACTATCCACCCGAGCAGTAGCTTTGCAGCTTCTAGGGCCTCGGACCTGAAGTTACCGATGACCCCAAAGGGCCTGTGTCTGCCTGGATTCTATGGGTTGATATTTACTGCATTAGAAAGTAGAATAAATTGGTTGTGTGTGTGTGTGTGTGTGTGTGTGTGTGGTACTGGGGATTGAACCCAAGGCCTTTGCACTGACCTGTATCCCCAGCCCTTTAAAAAAATTTTTATTTATTTTTATATTTTATTTATTTTTGTTTGTTTATTTTTTTTTGAGACAGAGTCTCACTATGTAGTGCAGGATGGCCTTGAACTTGCTTACCTAGTCCAGACTCACAGCGATCCTCCTGCCTCAGCCTCCCGAGTGCTGGAGTTACAGTTGTGCACCACCATGCTCAGTTTATTCATTTAT